CATGTGCGGAGGTCAGAGGACAACCTGTAGAAGTCGCTTCTCTCCTCTCAGCCTGGCCACATAAAGTTATGATGGAGCCACACAGTTCTCATACAAACCCACCACACTGCCAGTTGTAGCAATACAATTATGAACAGTTTGTAGTACAAGGATAATGGCCAGTCATTACTGGCGCGTGTCTTCACTTATCAAAAGGCAGCTCACTCTGAATAGGGTGTCATCAGAGCGTGCTCTATGCAATCATTGTAGACCACATGTCTAATCTGTATATGTAACTACATGTATCAAAGCCGGGCGTGGTGAAACATGCCTGCAATCCTAGGACTTAGGAGGAGAAGCGAAGGACAGATGTTTACAGTCATCCTCAGCCACAAAGAGCTGATGCCAGCCTTGACGCAAAAAAAAAAAAAAAACGGGTGGAAAGATAATTCAGCTGCTCTCGCAGAGAACTAGGTTCTATTCCCAGCACCCAGAGAGTAGCTCAAAACCATCTGTAACTCCAGCCCAGGGAATCTGACACCTTTTTCTGACTTCCATGAATACTGCATGCCTTTGGTACACTCATGCAGGCAAACCACTCATATACATAAGATAAAAATAAATGCATATAGATTTTTGTTGTTGTTGTTGTTTTGTTTTTCGAGACAGGGTTTCTCTGTGTAGTTCTTGGTGCCTGACCTGGATCTCGCTCTGTAGACCAGGCTGGCCTTGAACTCACAGAGATCCGCCTGGCTCTGCCTCCTGAGTACTGGGATTAAAGGCATATAGATTTTAAAGAAGGAGAAGAAAAAAAAAAATCCCTTGAAGCCAAGTGGGCATGTACAGCTGTTGTCCTAACTCAGGTTATCAGAGACAAAGGTCTAGAAACAAGCACTTGGCAAAATGTCGCCTTTCACCTGCTAGAAAGGGCAGGACTGGTGAGGGCAGGGCCACGCCAGCACTGAGTGGTGGGGCTGGGATTCAAACCACACTGTCTCTGGGAACATCTCCCATCCAAGTACATGCCAGGGCTAACCCTGCTTAGCTCCTTTGATCAAATGAGACAGGGCACGAAAGATGTACTCGGTGGGTAGAGGGCTTGCCCGGGATGCAGGCAGCCAGGGTTTGACTCCCAGCATCTCGCAAATGGCATGTCTGGAATCCCGGAGGAGGCAAGAATTTCAAAGTTATCCTCAGCTACACAGGGAGTTTGAGGCCCAACAAACAAACTCCTTCTCCAGAAGTGTGTAGAAACAGCCCTTCCCACGTGACAGAGAACACACTGTGCTTTTTCTGAGGTTTTCTCCCCCAGCTCTTTCAAAGTGTAGAGTGAAGACGTACATAAAGAAGATGCTCCCTTCAAACACTTCAAGTTCAGCTCAGGACAGTGAGCAAGGTCCAGGGAACAGAGCCCCACGGTGGCCGGGGACAGAGATAAGCAGCAAATGTCGACATTGTTTTTCAACCTCATCCCTCTATGTTCCAGAAATTAAACACACCGCCCTGTGCCAAGCCCTTTAAAGTCAGCTCCAACCTCTAACTCCCCAGGGAGAAGTCCACGGTACTCTGCACCACGAGCTGCAAATGTCCACGGCGCCATATCCTACTGCCCCACATTTACAACAAACAATGGCCTGGACTTTGGTATCATGCTAAGGTCTGCTGTATTTTTTATTAGTTGAGGATTAAATATGTATGTGCTTAATCACTCGCATTAATATTTGGAAGAGTTATGATGGCAGGAAATACGTCAGTGCATCGAGTCCTTCACTCCTGGGCTTCCTCACTTAAGGTGGATTAATCAGCAGCAGTAGCATCATTTCACAGTAATCTCAGCCATGATGGACTCTCTCCCTCCAGAACTATATGTCAAAATAAAATCCTTCTCCTTTACTCAGGGGTATTTTATCATAGTGGCAAGAACATAACTTAAGACAGCAGGATAGCATCAGCTAATAGACATCTTTGATGTGCACTACTGTTTTAAAATTGTCAAATTGTGTGGACATACGAAGTGTGAATCTGATTAATCTTAATCGTAAGCACCAGGAGTCAGATATTAAGGGCAAAAGCTGAAAGATCAGAGAAGCACAGCAATCAGCCATCTGAGAGTTCTTACCTCTTCAAAATCTCAGCCGGGGTGCCCCCTTCCTCTTCCCTCCTCTCCCTTCACAGAAGCCCGCCCAGTGAGGAGATAGGATGGAGGAGGCATCCTCTCACCCACAAGAACACCATGTACCGGCGCAGGGTCAGGGGGCCGCCCGGTGCCTTGGGCCCTGCTTCTGCACCTACCAGGCTCGACCCCAGGACCAGCTTTCTCCTCGGACTCTACCATTCCCACCCAGGCCCCACCCCGCTCCACCCACTCCTCCATCTTTTCCTCTTCTCTGGTCTCTCACACCCCCACATCCTCCCAGGTACCCTCTTCCTCAGGCTCTCCCACCACCTGTCCCTCAGGTCCAGGCTCTCAACTCATTGTGGGTGGCTCTTCCTCTGGGAAAGGGGGAGGAGGGACCAGGACCTGAGCTGCACACTGGTTGTCTGGATGGGCTTAGGAGCCTTTTTGAGAGACCCCCTTGCCCCTATCCTGGGGCTTCCCACCCTTCCCCTGCCACCCCATCAAGAGATGAGACCGTCAGGTATGAGAAACTGAGTCAAGAGCGTCCTACCCTCTTGCTTCGCTCCCATGACTACTCTGTATTCAATGGATGTGGAATTCATCAATGAGATCCTGAACATCCGTGCCAAGGGCCGGACTACACTGTGTTCCTGGCCCTTTGCTGCTTCCTGGCTGGGAACTATTTTGCAGTTCCGGTTGGAGATTCTATAGCTGGCCCTACCACCCTGAGAACTGGACCGTGCAAGCCCGTAGGTCTGCCCACATGTTCTGCCCACACATAGCTCTTCCAGTGTTTCCACAGGCGTGACAAGGAGGAGCTTTATGGACCTCTGATGCCTGCTCCACCTTCTACCTGAATTCCAGTGGCCTCATTTGTCGCCATCACCTGGACAAGCTGATGCCTTCACATTCACCTTCAACGCCTGTGAAAAAGCCGCTAGTGGAAAGCTCTGGTGGCCCTGGGGCTGTCAGAAGCAGAGCCCAGCTTACACATGTGTTCCAAGGCCTGATCCAAACTTGGGTGAAGGCATCACTGAGGACTTTGCTACGTACAAGAGGAGGTGAAGGTGGACAAGGATGTCCAGAGCCAGCCACCTCCCCTCTCCTTCCTTCTTCCCATCCCATGCTATGGAAAGCTGCTGTGTAATTTAATTTGTAAATAATAAAGTTTAAGCAACAAAGAAAAAAAAATCTCAGCCCGAAAGGGCGCTGTCCTGTCTCCACGAATCTCAGACTGAAGGAGCGGGACCCTGTCTCTACCTGCCTTCTATTCCTGTCTCCACCTCCCTAGTGCTGGGATCAAAGGCATGTGCCACCACCGCCTGGCTCTGTTTCTCTTTTAGATTGATTGATTCAATCTTGTGTAGCCAAGGGTGGCCTTGAACTCCTGATCTTCCTGTTTCTTCCTCCCCCCCCAGGTGCTGAGATTAAAGGTGTGTGCCACCACTGCCTGACCTCTATGGTTAACCAGTAGCTAGCTCCACCCTCTGATCTCCAGGCAAGCTTTCTTTGTCAGAACACAAACAAAATATCACACACAGCAGGCTTAAGTTGGTTTACCCTAATGAACCATGGAGACCAAAAACTAAGGGCACGTTCTACACACACAAAAGGAAGCACAGCCACCCACAGGAGTGGAGAGCTGAGGCGTTCAAGAGCTTCTCTGGATGCTAACTGCCCAGGTCTCTGCAGTGACGTCCTCACCCCAGGTCCACAGAGGCAAGCCTTGGGGGGTAACGTCAGCGTTACCCCTCATCCGCTGGACAGCTGGGGAACCTGTCTAAGCCTGTTTCCTTATATACAGGGAATAATACTGCAGACTCCACAGGGTTGGGGGAGGGCCTCATATGAAGTCATTAATCAGTTCAGGGCCTCACACCCAATTCACCATCCTGGTCCTTGTTACTTCCGGTACTCGGAAAGCTTAGACCACTCCTCCCCACGCTCAGAACAACCGCTGAAGCTTCTCATGACCAAGCAGCATCCAGCCGTGTGGAGGCTGGGTTCACCAGCTTCTGATGTGATTGTCCCTTTAAGGCTTGCAGTGAAGGAAGAGGGTGGAATTTCCCGCTGTTAGTCACTGGGGAAGGCACAGAAGACAGACCACAGCAAGGGCTGCCCCAGGGTGCTGTCCTCCCCCCGGGCGGCGGTGGGAGGGGAGGGCAGGGGCCAATCCTCTTTGTTTTCCTTTCCTTTTATTATGCCTGGGCTACGGGTAGACAGGGCAATCTTGGCTGTGAGCTGGAGTTTGGTGAGCTTTAGAGCCTAAGCAAGAATGTGAACAGTGCCCCCTGGAGGCCAGGAGGCCACTAGCAGCCATAGAGACCATAGAGAATTGGAATCTTCCCACCACCAGCCTTGGGGGATCCGGGTCATTGCAGGGACTTCAGATTCACCAGCTCTGAGGGCAGCACATCTGAAGCATGAATCTATTTAGTCTTGTCAATAAAAACCAGGAGTCAAATATTGGGGTAATAACCTGAAAGATCAGAGAAGCGGAGCAGCCACCAGTGACTTCCCTGGATCCTCTGACCAAATGGGGGCCAAGATTCTGTCTCTCCCCACCCCCACCTTATATCCCTGTCTCTACCTCCCAAGTGCTGGGATCAAAGGCATGTGCCACCACTGCCTGGCATGCCACTTCCAAATTAACACCCAGAGGCTTACATTAATTATAAATGCTCAGCCGGTAGCTCGGGCTTATTACTGACTAGCTCTTACACTTAAATTAACCCATAATTCTTATCTATGTCTAGCTACGTGGCTTCGTACCTTTTCTCAGCACAGCATTCTCATCTTGCTTCCTCTGCGTCTGGCTACTGGGTATTTGGGAGTTTTTGGCTGGACAGAAACTTCTGTCTACACACATCTAAGTTTGATATCTGTGTCAGTGGCCGCTTACCTCCTCAAAAGCCTCGCAGCCTGACACCACGATGTTTGGCCTGAAATATTCCATCTTCACTTTCTTCTTCAGTCTGGTGTTGAGATCGACTAAGGAGGCTTCAGAAATCATGTGGATGGGGCTGCAGTCTGGGTAGGCTACCTGTTACAGGACACAGTACAGTCAGGCCTCCCCACCCACTGGCATTGCTCAGCAGAGTCCAGATGGAAAACCTCTCAAGTGCGGAAGGGGAGAGCTATATTCAAGAAGGGGGTAGAGCTGTGCTTGTAGACAGGATGTGAGCACTGAAACGTGGCTTCTAGACACATGCTGGACAAGTCAGCAGCTTGGGCTGGCTCTTGTAATTCCATTAAATTATTTATGTTTTTATTTGAGACAAGGACTAGGTAGCCCTGGATGTCCTGGAACTTATTAGGTAGACCAGGCTGTGCTTGAACTCAGAAAGCCACTTGCCTCAACCTCAGGAATAAGAGGATTAAAGGTGTGCACTACTACACCAGTGGGCTGGTATTCGCCAGCCTGCTCTACTGCCTCATCACATCACACGGGGGGGGGGGGGGGGGGGGGGGAGTCTACTGCCAATATAGTACGTCCTAGCGATAATTTCATCAACACCAGCCATTCACTCAAAACCTACTGATCACTGGTAGATACCTGTCACTGTATTAGGTGAGGAACAATAGTAATAAGGCAAATAAATAATATCACCAACAATACTAATAATATTAATAAATAAGCCTGCCTTGGCTTTGGAGGGGAATCCCTGGGGTACTTGCATCTTAAACCGTGGCTCACTATAGTTTTTCCCTGGCAGGAACTGCCTTCCCGGCCTGTGAAATAGTTATCACACACACAGGCGGGAAGGTGGCCTGGACAAAGTCTGCATCAGGAAAGGCACATTTAGTCCCAGCACGGCACTCTCCCTGGCAGCCAGGCCTCTTCTCTCTCTTTCCTTTCTGGGACACAGCCTAACCTTTAGCCCAGGCTGGCCTTGAATTCACAGCACTCCTCCTGTCTTAGCCTCCTGAGCGCTGGGATTACAGGCATGAGCTACCACACTCAGCTTCCAGCCAGTTTCCTCCAGAAACTGTCCCCATCTGCCCGGAAGTCACCCTGGCTCCTCCCTCCACACATCCCCCATACATAACCCTCTGTACCCCGGATGTCCCAGCACTGAGCCCTCATCACACACACGTCCCTCGCCATCCTTACCATGTAGGTTGTACCCTGGAGCACGCACCCCCAACCACTGTCAGGGGTTTCTAACTGGTCTCAGAGGGGCTCTTATGCACAGAGACGGAGCACGGAGGCCCAGAGCGACCAGCAGAATGAAGACTCTCACCTCATATTTCTGAAGGTAATCTTCCGAAGGGTAAAGCTTCTTTGTTGTCCTCCCCTTCATGCTCGTATCAAACTGAACCAACCTGTAGGGTTCTGTCTTCAGGTAGCTGGTGAACCACCGCGCCACCTCATCGCCACAATCTCTGCCTTTGATGTCAAGACCAAACAGCCTGGAAGGGTAGTTAAAGAACACCAGATGACTGGTGTGGACACACTGAGTGATGGTGGCCTGAATATACCAGAAGGCTGCTAAGAGGTCTTTAGAGAGGAGCCAGGAAAGAGCAGAAGAGGGTCCAGAATATGCCCTGGGGAAGATCTCCCCAGCTCGTATGTCTGCGAATCACCTAGACACATGTTCAGATGCAGACTCTGGTCCAGTGGGCTGGGGTTGGTGCTAGCATGCAGGCATCTGTACTGGCCTGCCCTGAGGGTCCTGGCAGGACAGACCTCAGCTGCAGCCACTAAGAGCACCCCCTGGGTGCATTCGCTAAGTTCCCTTATGAAAGACCGGCCTTGTACACTTCCTGACCCTTTCTCTTCCTTTGCTCTCATCCCCAGGGACCGCTCTCCGGCCCCTTCTCTGTCCCTTCTCTCCCCTCCCCTCAATAAAGCCCCCATGTGGGCCCTGTTGTATAGGTTGACTCCTTCACACCATTTTTAAAATACAGCAGCTGAAATCTGGAACTTTGCATTACTGACATGCTTCCAGCCATCTAAGCGGCTAGGTCCATGGACCATTACGAACACCAAGGATTCAGGTTTCTTTCAGAAAGAGGGGGTGTTGCTTGAGGCAGTTGCACCTTTGGCTGGAAATTCTCAGACCTGGTTCAGATTGGAATCAGTCATTCCCTTGGTCTGTTGGCCTTTAATAAACTCAACATTTCTGCCTCTCCTCTGTCTCCCGATATAAACTGGAGATAAACACATTCTACCTACCTGCTGGGAGAGGGGCGGGCACGGATGTCGGACAACACCGTGACCTCTGCTGTGTTCCTGGTTTGGTTTAAATTGACTGCTCTACGTTAGTTGTTAAAACTGTGTGTCCACAGAACTTATAGATTGATATGTAAATATTTCAATTTTACTTAACTTGTGAAACACATTAATTTCCTTGAATTATAAACACTGACATTTAAAATAAGACTATATTTGATTTTTTTCAGTGATTTCTAAATACTATCAGTTTGCTATCTACCATTATCCATTTTTAAAGTACACAAATAAGATTTTCTCTAAACAGACCAACTATTGTTATTGTTGCTGTCTTTGAGACGCCATCACTGGTAGTCCAGGCTGGCCTTGAACTTGCTATGTAGTAGAGGCTACCCTTGAATCTCCTACCTCTCCTAGTGCTGTTTCAACCTGCCTGATAAGTGATCCAAAGTTTTAGATAGCTCATCTCTTTATTCTGGAACACATATGTACATTCAACTTTTCTCACATAATTTCATACTGATATATGACTACTGATCTCTTAAAATATTTCCTTTGAGCCGGGCAGTGGTGGCACACGCCTTTAATCCCAGCACTCGGGAGGCAGAGCCAGGCGGATCTCTGTGAGTTCGAGGCCAGTCTGGGCTACCAAGTGAGTTCCAGGACAGGCCCAAAGCTACACAGAGAAACCCTGTCTTGAAACCCCGCCCCCCCCCCAAAATTCCTTTGAACCAATAAAATTTTGATTCTTAAGGATCCATATGTGAAAGATTTCGGGAGAGATTAAATTATCTTTACAATTTTGATTTGTAAAGTAATTGATCATAATAAAATGGGTATGTTGTGAATTTTGAAGGTCTCCAAATATAAAGAGCAGATTTCAGCTGAAATTAATTTATTAATGAGCCCTAAGAATAGCCATGAATCTGACTGAATTTTAGACAAGGTTTAGTATCAATTTATTCCTCCCCCCCCCCACCACCCACTTAAGCAAAGTCTTATAGTGTAGCCAAGTGGTGAGGATTTCACAATGTTGCCCAACTTGACTTAAAATTCACAATCCTCCTGCTTCCAGCTCCCTAGTGAATCACCAGGCATGGTTCCTTCCTTTCTTTCTTTAACAGCCCTGAGAATGAGGGGCTGGGAATGATGGTATACACCTCTAATTCCAGAATTCCAAAGGCTGAGGCAGGAGGATCCAGATTCCAGATTCCAAAGGCATGGAGTCCAATGATAGCCTGAACCCTATTCATTGATATTCACTGATAGCAAAACCCAATTCATTGATATCTTGAAGAAAGGGATTGAGATAGGTCTCACTATGCAGCCTTGTCTGGCCAGGAATGTGCTATGCAGACCAACGTGGTCTCGAACTCACAGAGATCCACCTGCCTTTCCCTCCTGAGTGCTGAGATTAAAGGCATGCACCACCTATTTGTTTATTTTATATTTGTTTTAAGAAAAATATGGAACATTTAGCAAATTTGTGTGTCATCCTTGCACAGGACCGGCTAATCGACTCTGTATCATTCCAGTTTCAGTATATTGCTGCCAAAGGACACACAACCAAGTTCTATTAAAAAAAAAAAAGTTCAATTCCCAGCACCCACATGATGACTCACAACCATCTATTATGGGATCTGACACCCTCTTCTGTAATGCAGGCATACAAGGCCCTGAGTTCCATTCCCAGCACTACAATGGGCAGAGGGAGAGTTTGAAAGAAAATGGCCCCCAAAGGAAGTGGCACTATTAAGAGGTGTGGTCTTGTTGAAGTAAGTGTGGCCTTGTTGGAGAAGTGTGTCGCTGTGGGGGTGGGCTTTGAGGTCTGTTACGCACAAGCTTCACTCAGTGTGACAGCCAGACACTCCCTGTTGCCTTCTGGTCAAGATGTAGCCAGCACCGTGTCTGCCTGCATGCTGACATGCTCCCCGCCATGATGATAATGGACTGAACCTCTGAAACTGTAAGTGAGCCACCCCAATGTTTTAAATGTTTAAATGTTTTCCTTATAAGAGTTGCTGTGGACATGATGTCTCTTCACAGCAATAGAAATCCTAACTAAGATCCGGGGGTGGAAGATGCTCTGTGCAAACTATGGATTTAAGGATCTGGAAACTGATTTCTTGAAAGTTTCCCCTGCTCCTCCCCCAACACCATAAGAAGTGCGTACACACACACACACACACACACACACACACACACACACACACACACAGCCTGTGCCAGTGTGAGGATGCCTGAGGTCATGTGTGCAAAGGAGTTCAATAGAAATACCCCGAATACTCATTAATAGTTGAACGTCTGAGCTCTTGAAGGCTCAAAATCCTCCACAAGCCCTCTGGTGTCAAATCTTGACACCCCTCTGTTAAGGCTTCTAGGGCCCCCTCCTCCTATCTGAAACCCTTCTTGGAGCACTGTTTGGATCTGTGGATCCTTCTTGGTCCTCGACTGCCCTTCGGCCATCCTCCTGAAACTGCAATCAGCCACTCGACTACTCAAAACGGATCCTAGCCACTGTTGGGCAGCACCAGGGTGCCCTGTGGCTCCTCCAGAACAGCACCCACATGAAACTGCACACACTTCTACCACTCACCATCCACCACATACAGGAGATTGGCACTGGCCCTTGGAAAGGTAGAAAGCACCCAACAGGGCAAGAAGATGCCAATCAAACTGTGTCCTTCCAGCTGGTAACAGGCATTCCTCTCCCAGGCCTGTGCCCGCTGCAAATAGATAGATTAGATAGATAAATGGATAGAGGGATAGAGGGATGGATGGATGGATAATTAGAAAAAAATCTACGTGGTAAGAACCCCAAGCTTACCCAGTGGACCCCACTCTGAGGGGGTACAAATCAGCACATTCATTTTAGAAAAGAATCTGGCATTTCTGGTGCCTCCTGTTTTGTATAGATCTATAACCTAAGCACCGGGGAGGCAGAGGCAGGAGGTTTAAGAGTTTGGGTCAGCCCGGGCTACATAGAGAATCCTCTCGACCTCCACGCTTTACACATGTGCTCTCAGAAGACACACATAAGAATGTTCGTAAGGGGGCTGGAGATGACTCAGTGGTTAAGAGGGCTTGGGCTCTTCTGGAGGACTGTCACCATGGCCTGCAGCTCCAGCTCCAGGTGATCTGACGCCTATGTTCTCTGAGGGCGTCTGCACCATACTCACACACAGATACACACATACACATCATCAAAACTAATGAACACTAACCTTAAAGACTACTCAGAGAATATTGTTCATATTATAGAAAAAAACAAACAATGTTTATGAGGATGAACAAAACAATATAACAAACAGGTTGCCACAGACTCACACAGTGGAAGCCACACTGTGTTGGGAAAACATGGCCAACGGTAAGAAGCTGAAGGACAATTGTGTGTTACAAGGATGACTGATGGCTGGGGTCTCCTAAGCTGCCTGAGGCCAGGGGAGCCAACCTCAAGGTCAGAGTGTGGGACTTTGGTACCACAGCCCCCAATCTCCAAGGAAGGGGCAGAGGCTGAAGGTTGAGTCGATCAGTGGCTGATATTTTATCAAGCACACTCTGTAATAGTTTCCATAAAAGCTCAAAGGACTAGGTTCAGAGAGTTTCCTAACTGCTGAACACCTAGAGGTGTGTCAAGGGAGGCATACCCAGCAAGCACACAAGAGTTCAGTGCTGTGGAATAATCCTTTTCTACACTATTACTCTCGTTGTTTCACAAAAAGCTGACAGGCTGGTAGCTGGGCAGGAATTAGGTGGGAAAGCCCAACAGAGAATGATGGGAAAGATAGAGTCAGGGGAGTCGCCAGAGTCAGAGGAGTCACCAGTCAGGAGCAGAGGGAGCAGGAGATGAACATGCCATGTTAATAAAGGTACCACCACATGGCAAAGCACAAATAGAAATATGGGTTAACTTAAAATATAAGAGCTGGTTAGTAATAAGCCTGAGCTATTGGCTGAGCATTTGTAATTCATATTCAGCCTCTGAGTGGATATTTGGGACCTGGTGGTCAAAACAGGAACCGTCCATTTACAGTTCAGTTCCCTACATGTCCCATTCATCCCATCCTTAGCCTTTAGAACATCCTTTTTAAGCACCCGGCAAACATGATGCCCAATTTCTAAGAGGCACTCTAGCAAATTGACAGAACCCAAGGAGGAGGTGGTAAGTCAGAGTCAGGTTGCCACCCTCACTGGCGTTTGAAGCCAGGGATCGTCCTATGGGACCAAGTCTTCAGTCTATGAGAGCTGACGCTGGCTCCAGGCTGAAGCCAGGGATCGTCCTATGGGACCAAGTCTTCATTCAGTCTATGAGAGCTGATGCAGATGGAGTCAGGACCGGACTGGTGGACGCCAGCTGGTGTGTGCTAGAAGAGGTTTGCTCATTGGGGACCCAGAAGCAACACACTCTGTGGTAAGGAATGAAAAGCATGCCTCTTGCCTTCCTTGGTGGTTGGAATGAGAATAGCATCCACAGGCTCATATGTTTGGTTACATGATCCCCAGTGGTGGGACAGTTTGGGAAGAATTAGGAAGTGTGGTCTTGTTGGAAGAGATGTGTCACTGGGGGTGTAGGCTCTGAGGTGTCAAAAGCCGGCACCGGTCTCATTTAGCTCATCCCTCCCCTCCCCCACCTCTCTCTCTGCCTCCTACCTGCTGAGAAGGATGCAGACTCTCAGCTCCTGCTCCAGCACCACGCCTGCCTGCGGCCATGCTCCCCACCATGGTGGACTTACTCCATGAAGCTGTACCCCATTCAAACACTTTCTTTCCCAAGTCGCTTCAGTCATGATGCCTCTGCATCACCACAGAAAAACAACTAAGACATCACCCCATCACGCCCACTTTTGGTTTGGTTTCTCTCCTCAGTTACGGAGAAATCAAACTTCAGTTGGACTTGACAAGGTTGAAGTCACTATTTTCTTTTCTTTGTTTTTGACTTTTAGGGAAAAAATTGATAACAATGGTTAATAAGACAGACAACTGTCACTTCTGTACCTAATTTAATTATACCCATGTATACATGTTTGTCAAACTACATGTAAGAATCAAATGTTACTAGTTAGCTAGTCTTTTTTTAATCTTTTTAAATTTATATATTTATTTAAATATTTATGTATTTATTTTTATAACTTAGGTAGTCTTTAAAGCTAGACCTCAAAGGTTTTTTTGTTAGACCAAAGATAATTTCTTCCTTCCTTTTCCATTAAAACAAAAGCATGGGACTGGCAGGACTCAGATGGTAACGATGTTTGCCACCAAGCCTGAAAACCCGAGTTCAATTCCCAGGCCCCTTGTGATGGAGGAACCAACTCCCTCAAGAACTGATTGCCAGGGGAGCCTACTCCAAGACTGGAGGTCTTGACTTTAGTGTCACCCCGACTCCCCCCACCCCCGACCTCTGAGGGGGCAGAGGCTGAAGACTGAGTTGATGAATGGCTAATTATTTTTATCAATCATAACTATGTAATAAAAGCCCAACGGGCTGGGTTCAAAGAGCTTCCCGATTGCTTAGCACATGGTGTTAGAGCTCACTGGGAAGCTGGTTCTGGAAGGGGGTTGGGCCTCCTCGCCCAGTCCAGACCAAAGCATGTGTGTCTCAAAGTGCCCTGCGAGGCCCACTGTCCAGGGACAGGCTGCCCCCTTCCTCTATGGCAGTGAGGATAAAACAGCCTGAGAGAAAACACTGTGCCCTCAACAGCTTACGGTAAACCAGCCAGAGATGCACAGTGGGACTCTGCCTCAAAAAGAAAGAAAGAAAGAAGAGAGAAAAGAAAAGCGTGGCTGAGGGCTGAGGGCACAGCTCAAGGGTAGAGTACCCACTTAGTATGCACAAAACCCCGGTTCTAACCCCGGCACTCAGCCAGTTACCAAGGGATCCACAACACTGCATCATCCCACAGCAAGCACCTAGGTTTCTGTGATTTCCCAACATCAAAGAGCAAGGCCTCCCCAGCTTTAGTCCTCAGTAGCACACGTGTGTGTGCACACACACACACACACACAAAGAAATTTGGGCAAGACCCAGCAGGCCATGGATCATCTAGAGACGATGCCAAGACCTGAGGCCTCGCCCCTGCCCACACACATACCCTGCTCTAAGTCCTCAGTCTCAGCGGCACACTTCAGGGGCTGGAAAGTTCCAACGGGCTTGTTATCTATCCAGCTCTGAGACCAACCGGTAAAGTCTCCAGTAACTTCTCTTGTCTAGATGGCAGGCTAAGAACTCTAAACAGTGTCTCTCCAAGGGCCAGGTTGCTGGTTCAGTGGGTGAGGGACTTGCTGTCAAACCTGAAGACCTGGGTTTGATCCCCGGAACCCACATGGCAGAAGAAGAGAGGTGACTCTTGTCATATGCATATGCGCTATTACATGTGTACCTAGACACACACACACACACACACACACACAGAGCTGCATATGTGCCTCGCTATCTTGGAGGCCTTGGAGAAGGGACAGCCACAGCTAGAAACATATTCCTAGGGACAATAGTCTTGTCACATGCACGCATGACTTGCAAACCCTCCTTGATGGAGTCCTTACCTACAAGGAGCATGTCAGGACTATAAGCCACACAGCTGCTATGTGTGTGACACCCCCCACACCTCCACCCCCCCACCCTGAAGTTACTCTAACCAGCCAATCTGAACCCTGCTTAATTCCTTACTTTTTCTCTCTTCCCTGCAGAAGACCAAGCAAAGGCTCTGGGCTACAGTTTCCCCTTCCTTGACTTACCTCTGGCCAGCCCTGCGCACCACCACCACCCCCCACCCCCCGGCTTCCCTGTGTTAGCTCTGCCTAATTCTAGGAACCCATCGATGTAATGATAGTTTTTCCTGGATGACAGTCATTTCATCATCTGCAACTCTCACCATCCCTGCTTAAAACTAATTCTGAGGTGGAGGCCGTGGCTCTCGCTTGGTACAGGGAATGCCTGGTACGCCCAAAGCCCAGGGTTCGATCCTCAGCACTACACAAACTGAGCGTGGTGGTGGTGCAGACCTGTCATCCCAGCATTCAGGAGGTAAAGGCCTAATGGCCAAAAGTTCAAAGTCATTCTTGGTTATACAGCAAATCGGAGGTCAACCTGGGATGTCAGCCCCCCATCTCCAAACCATAGATAGATAGATAGATAGATAGATAGATAGATAGATAGATAGATAGATAGATAGATAGATGCCCTGGGTACCTTTAACAGTGGCTCACACTTGAGCCCTACCTTATAGACTAACCCCTCTTCAGTATTTTCCTGCACCAATTCCCTCATCTACAGTTCTGACATAAACTGTAACAAATGCAAGGAAGACTCGGGTCTGTTGCCGCCTCCCCACTGGCCCCAAGCAGAGCACCTGCAGTCGTAGATCTTATTCGAAGAAGGCAGCTTGATAGGCAAAACCATCTGGTCCATGCCTGGAGCTTCGAGGGTCAGATAATTGTTCTCCAAGGTGATGGAGACCAGCACAAGGCGAGGCTCCTGGCGGGCAGTGACCATGTGTCCATCTTCCTTAACCACCATCCAAAACCTGCAGAGAGGCAGACAGGTGTACACTCAGAAAGTTTTCCCCGACCCTCAAGAACTTCCTTTAGCTCTCCATCACCTCAGAACTATCGATCCACCCTGGTGTGAGAGCCGATGGTAGATTGTGCAGGTCTTGACAGATCCTTTTGGTCCAAAAGTGGTTGGCCCCAAAAGGAGCTCCCTCTGGCACTTGTGCGACGCCTTTTGCCACCTTAAGATGCAGCAAGAAGCCCTCAGCAGATGCCAGTGTGTGTCCCTAGACTTCCTGGACACAGTAACTCCCAGCATGCCCCAGCCCCAGCAGCCCCAGACAAGACTTGGTGTGTACTCAACCAGACACGCCATCACTGACCACCAATCCTTCTCTAGGCTGAATCTTCTCAGCTCCCATCCACCCAAAATAGCCCCTCTCACGGCGGATACCCCTTCTGCTTTAGCCCAGGCCACTGTGTAACGACTTGGGAACTAAATACTGATGTCAAGAGGGGGAGGGGATGCTCAGTGGCCCCCTGCTAATGGCTGTGACTGAAAAGGCGAAAGGCCACCGCAAGAGAATCCAACCTTGGGACTGCACAAAACAGACAAAAGGTTAAAAGGCTAACGTAATGGTTGACAGCAACTGTTAACTTGACAGATCTTGAATCACCTCTGGGCCTACCTGAGGAATTGTCTAAATTAACTGAGGTGCAAAGACTCACCCTACACACGGATGGCATCACACCATGGGCTGGGCTTCCAGACTGAGTAAAAGGATAAAGCCAGCTGAACGCTGGCTTCTCTGCCTCCTGACTGTGGAGGCAGCTGCCTCCCCATCCTGCTCCAAGCCCTTCTTTGCTCAAGTTGCTTCTTGTCTCAACAATAAGAACAATTAACGAAGACAGCTGCCACACGTAACAAACCTCAATCACCTCGTTACCCTGCCAGCCTTCAGGCTACTTTTTTTTTTTTAATCTTGTGCACATAAATGATTCCCGTAAACAAATGATCTGCTGTGCTCTGCCAAGGCTGAGAGAAAGGATGAGACCAGGTTGTTTCATAACCAAGTTACCCCACCTTGACCTGCAGCAAGAGTCAGCACCCTGACTTTACAGTAAAGCACAAGAAGGGGCAGCTGGGCCAGTGCCACAGCCCAGCGCTCAGAATCCCCACCGGAAACAGGGCCTTGAATGACCAATGTAACGGTGAAGCTGAACCCAGGGCAAACGAAAAATCCCATTCAAGTTAAACACCAGCCAGCAGGGCTGGGGTGGAAGGGCCAGGAGCAAGAAGGACTCACCCTGAAAGAGGAGATGGGAGGGGAAAGATGGAGGTGAGAACAGGAATAAACATGGGGGGGGGTCCCCTTTATCAATAGATGATAAATTCGTGCAGAAGAAATAGACAGCCGGCCGCAAGGAAGGGTCTGGGCAGAGAAGGTGACTGAGTCATGGCTGGCTGCTTAAGGACATTTACAAGGTCAAGGAAGGAAGCTACTCCCGAAGCAGAGAGCCTATGTGAGCACCTTCCGGGAGGACCTTGACCTCACAGCTCAGGGAGCTGGCACAAGGTCCAGCCCAAATGGGCTGAGAACACTAGCAAAAACCTTCAGTAGCTGGAGGCACCGGGCAGTACAGAGGAAAATCCAGACACAAATTAAACAAAGGGGCTCTTTCCCTGCCCTCCAGAAATACCAATGGTTGTGCTGCTCTCGGGACGGAAAACACAGTCATTAAGCAGAGTTCTGGCTGGCGAGCCTGCTTCTGAATAGTAATCACCCTTTGATAAATAAACTCAAGTTCATTTTTTTTTTCCAAACAAAACTGAGGCTCGGGGAGGTTAAATGCCTTTGTTCAAGGTCTCCTGCTCCCATGCACTTCTCACATCCCTGTGTCACACACTAGTTTCCTCATAGAAAAGAATAATCATTTACTGAGGGGTTGGGGGTGCAGCTCAGTCTGTAAGAGAGAGTGCTCGCCCAGTGTGCATGACGCCCTGGATTTTATCCTCCAGCACATAAGTGAGGCGTGGTGGCAGATGCCAGTCATCTCCACACAGCAGGGTCAGAAGTTCAAGGTCATTCCCAGGTCGGCATAGAGCAAGACCAGCCTGGGCTGTATGAAAACTTGTCTGTATACTGAAACAAAATAAAATATTGTCATTTCCCGAGAGTCCCATTCCTGTCCAGACGAACTCATATCCCCAAGAATGAAGGAGGCTTTTGTAGCGTGTTGAAGTCTCCCCGGGTGATTCATCTGCTGTAATTAAAAAGGGTTTTACAGAGTCCGTTGTGAAGGAGAGGATGTTTAGAACTTATTACAGTGTGAAGGATAAGAGCTCGTGCTTGAGGCTGGAAAGACCTTGGAGACTGGGCACTGGATGTTGTCCAAACACCAGAGATGCTGAAGCTCAGAACGCTGACCTGAGGAGGCCGACACAGCTGCTTTCCTTCCCATTTAAGAACGTGAGGGTATCTCTCAGGTGACCACTATCCACCCGTGTTTCTTCAGATCATCAGGGGACATCTGCTCACCATTAAGACTATCATGGCCTCCTTGTAAATATTGCTAGCGTAGAGAGAAAATATGTCCTTTGCCCTTTCCTGCTTTTCTGCTTCCTGAGGGTTCAATAAAATAAATAGAACTGGATGTTTCTCTTGTTTTGAGCAATAAATTCTTCCCTCCTTCCTTTCCTCCCTCTCTCCCTTCCTTTCTTTCTTTCTTTTTTTTTTTCTTCCAGAGGACCTCACTATGTAGCTGTGGCTGGCCCGAACTCCCTGTGTAGACAAGGTTGGCCTTGAACTCACAGGGATGCACCTGCCTCTGCTTCCTAAGTGCTGGGAATACAGGTTTTCATGCCTCAGCACGAGCAATACGTTCTTAAGATGATGTGGTCTGGAGTGGAGGAAAAGTCAGTGAAATGATTCTATGATTGCCATTGGGCTAAATCCTGTCCTGTAAGTTAGCCTGTCTAAGGTTGGTTTTGTGGGCTAGATATGAATGTCTCCATCCCTGGGACCTAAGAAGTCAATATTAGACAGGCTGAGTATGTCAGTATGTTAAAACGAACAAAACCTCCCCAGCATTAGAAACCTAGGATGGGATCGAGGAATGGAAAGCCCATGAGCCGAAAAGCCCTCACGCAAGACACTTCAGATGACGTTTTCCACCGAGTCAGGAGCCAGTGTTTCTTTTAGGACCACGGTCTTCAAGGGTCGGTACACACAGGTGTCCTGGGATGAACACTGGGCAGCACATGACCTCTGCTATCAGGTTCCTGAAATGGCCATTTGCAGACTCCCTCCTTTGCCCAGATACGGAAGTACAACTACTTCTGCCATAGAAGACGACATCCTAATTATAAGAACGAATTCTATGTGTCAGCCTGGTGAGGACCACCCACCTGCAAGAGAAGGGTACAGGCATTCCCTTGGATCGCATAAAAATCGAACCCGCTGTGGGGTGAGGAAAAGGAGATGGCTGGGGTACACCGCCACCAGGACACATGTGACGCTGAATCTGCCTCGGGGAACAACTTTGCTAACCCTAACACCACCATTCAAGGTTTGAGAAATATCTATGTGCTCAGTTGTGCCTCTTGACCTAGGCTTTCCAAGGGTTCACCTTTAGTCACAGTAACAGCTGGATGTCATGCAAGCCCAGGCTGGCCCTCCTTCAGCAGAATTCTCACCCAGTCTGGCTGAGCCTGTTCCCTGATCTATATATTTGTTCTGTGCCAGCAAACTGTCTTTGCTTTTCTTCATTCTAACCTCCTTTATGATTATTTTACACCCCGGTTTGTGACTAGTTCCCTGTCCTCACTACCCCCTCCCCCACCCGGCAAATCATGTAGTCCCGCTCCTTACTCCTTAGAGCGGTCCCCAGAACTAGAGGGAAGGAAGGACCCAACGCTCTCGAAAACATTCAGCCAATGGCTTTTTGTATTTCTAGTATCCTACAGGTAGGAGAGCTGGGCAGACAACCGGGTTGGCCATGTGACAGAAGAGTTTCTCTCTAGTCCAGGGGTCCAGGATTGCCCTAATCCACTTTTCCAAAACTACCTTACCAAGAAGCATAGGCCTCGCAGCTAAAGGATCAAAAGTCGAGAACCCAGGGAATTCTGCCAGCAGTTGAATTGCAGTTGTCTTGATAGCAGTAAGGGGAGGGATCAAAATCAAGGCGCTCTGCTCCACTCTAGAGTAAATTCGCATATTGTAAAGCTAAAATTCTCCTCCCGGAAGGCCTCCCCCCACTGCCATTTTTGAACTTACAAACTACGATTTCAACTTGAACATGCTCACACATATGCCCCGTGTTAACAGTTGGTGACAGCTCTTTCCCACGTGTGTGCGTGTTTCCCAGATGCAGCAAACCCTTGCTTTCTTGGTTTGGGGAGAACGCAGCTTGCAGCGTAGAACCCCTCTCACGAATTTCTCCACGCTTCGGCTCACAAAGTTTACACTCACCGAGGGGCGCCCGGATGAGGGCTCACACTTCCAAGCCGGGACAGGCAAGACCCCACCTCCCTCGTCCCGGCCGGTCTCGTACCTGTCGCGCACTTTGCCGCAGCGCAGCCCCATGGCGGTGCACTCGGTCTCGCACACCGACACCCCCTTGCAGGACTTGATGGGGTAGATCCAGACCTTCGACACCGTCCCCACCTGCCGCAGCCGCCGGGGCCGCCGGAGCCGCCCGCGACGCCAGGCCACGGCCCCCAGCGCCACCGCGGCCAGTCCTAGCGCGGCGACGCCGAGCCAGGTGGACCGCGGCTGCCCGGGGAGGCCGAGGCGAGCAAGAGCCGTGGAGCTGGAGGCACCCATGCTAAGCTATCCGGTGCAGGCCTGGGATCCCGGGCCGCGATGGCGAGGCGGGGCTTAAGGCTCCGGGTGGGTGGGAGGAGCCAGAGTTGGCGCAGCCGCACCGCCTGCCTGTCAAACCCCTGCAGCTGAAGTCGCGACCCGCGGTGGAGCCAGGTCCTAGGCCATCGCGGGTGGCAGCCTTGCCTTGGGGTGGTCACTCTTATTTTACTTTGCCTATGTTTCCCCTTTTCACCGCACCCCACCCCCCACCCCGTTTTAACGCGATCCCGCCCCCTTGCCAAGTGACCCTCCAGCCCGCTACAGTCGTTTACCCTTTTGCTTCTAAAAGGAGCGCACTCAGTTGCACCGGAAGTTGTACTGAAAGGAAGAATGGAAGATTTCGTGGGAGCAACTTTGGGCAGGTCTCTAGAAGATCTCGGAACTTACTTGAACGCTCGACCTAAACCTCTGCAGGTGGAGAGACGAGTTGACTGGAGTGGCTTCTAGCAACGTGACCCAGGGTGACAGGCACATAGGCCAATTCAGATGCGTCCTGAGGAAACCAGAATGGAGGATCTGTTTAAGAAAGTTCCTAGACAACTTTCTAAACAGGATTTAAAAATCAGGCTGCAGCACGGGGCGTGCCGGGGGGGGGGGGGTAGCTCTAAGTTCAAGACCATCGTGGACTATGATAGCCAGACCCTGTCTCAGAAACGTCAATGATTAACTGATCCGTGGAAAGGAGCTCGACAGGTCAAGGTGCCGCTGCCAACACTGATGACTTGAGTTCAGTCCCTGGGACCCCCGTGGTGGGGAGGGGTGGGGGACCAAGTATTATACACACACACACACACACACACACACACGCACGCACGCACGCACACAGTGGGGATAAATGCAAAATAATAATAATAATAATAATAATAATAATAATAATAATAATAGGGTCTGGAGAAAGGGTTCGGCGGTTAAGAGCACTGGCTGCTCTTGCAGAGGACCCAGGTTGGGCTCTCTTCACTTACACAGAGGCTCACAACTGTCTACAAATTCCAGTTCCAGAGGATCCAACAGCCGCTTCTGGCCGCTGTAGATACCCAGAGCACTGGTGATGCTCAGGCATACGTGCAGGCAAAACACCCAGACACTTGAAATAAAAATAAAAAATTAAAAATCTAAGGATGTAGAATTTTGAAGTATTCTTCTGTTGCTTGGACTGTCGCCAGAGACAATAAGCCTTAAATCTCTTGGCAGGAGTGTGGGTTACAGAATTATAATGACCCATAGGTCACCTCCATACTCTAGACCAGTGGTTCTCAACCTTCCTAACGCTGCGATCCTTGACTTCAGTTCCTCATGCTGTGGTGACCCCCAACCACAAAATTATTTTGTTGCTAATTCATAACTGTAATTTGCTGTTATAAGTCATAATGTAGATAACTGATATGCAGTACATATCTGATATGTAAAGGATCGTTTGATCCCCGAAGGGGTCACAATCCACAGGCTGACCACCACTGCTCCATGGGACAGTGGCTGGAATTAGTGGATTCCGTGTGGGGGTGGGGAAGGTCATTCCAGCTGCTTCTTGCTTCCAGCTGCACATTGCCGATGTGCTCTTTTCATTTGCTAGTTTTGTGAGGTTTTCCTGGTCTCACTCTCTGCCCTACTCTCCAGCATCCTGTGGCCCAGTCCTGAGGAGGGTCAGAGCCCTCCTGGCCCACAAGCTTCTGTGAGAGCTTCATGCCTATAAAGTCAGGACCCACACTAGAAGTGGGTCTCCTGGCAGGGTAAATGTCTCTTTATTTCAAACAAATTAAGATGGGTCTCACTGTAGCCTTGGCTGACCCAGAACTCAAAAGGCAGACCAGGCTGATCTCAAGTTCACAGAGACCTGCCTGACTCTGCCTCCCAAGTGCCAGAATTAAAGGTATAAGCCATGATGCCTGGCAAAATAAAATTAAATAAATTTATTTTTATTATTTTTATTTTTATGTATATGAGTGTACATATGTATGTATGTGCACCTTGTGCATACCTGGTTCCTGAAGAGGCCAAATAGGACACCAGTCTCTTAGAACTGGAGTTACAGATGGTTGTGATCTACCACGTGGGTACTAGAACCTGAACCCAGGTCCTCTGTAAGAACAGCCAGTGCTCTTCATCACAGAGCTACCTGAGCCAACCCTGTGTCTCTAGTTTATCTGTTCCTTTCAGTACATGCATTGACCTTTCACTGGGCTTCTCCTTAGATTTAAAGTTAGATGAAGTGCCTGTCCATCTGTGTGACTGACAGCCCATCTGCAAGTCCACGGGACAGTGACAGACAGACAGCCTGGTCAAGACATGGAGCAAATAAATCCCAGATGTCTGCATTCTCCAATGACAGAGGTGTGTGTGTGTGTGTGTGTGTGTGTGTGTGTGTGTGTGTGTGTGGTGTGTGTGTGTGTAGGTGTGTTTTGTGTGTGTGTGTAGGTGTGTTTTGTGTTTGTGTGTAGGTGTGTGTAGGTGTGTTTTGTGTGCGTGTTGTGTGTTTGTGTGTAAGTAGGTATGTGTGTGTTTGTGTGTAGGTGTGTTTTGTGGGGGGGTCGTGCCACAGCATGAATGTGAAGGTTCAAGGACAACCTCTGCTATCGATCCTTGCCTTCTACCTTGAAGCAGGGTCTCTTGTTCATCCCTGCATAGGCCAGGCAAGCTGGCCCTAGAGTTTCTGGTGATTCTCCTATCTGCACCTCCCATCTCACTACAACAGTCACCACATGCCACCACACCTGTCTTTACGTGGATTCTAGGGATCTGAACCAAGGGGCACAGACTTACATGCCAAACGCTTTGCCCACTGAGCCGTCTCTCCAGCCAAGACAGAGCTTTTAAACTGTGATGTAAGCTCCAGGAGGAGCGGGGGCTGGGGTGGAGGAAGGAATTCTGTACACGAACAGCCTGAGTAACGGCCTGAAGAAGCTGGAAGAGAGAGACCTGAACACAGTCAGACAACGCTCTTTGCTCAGCTTGGTTAGAATGTTCCAGCGAATTCGGTGAGGGGGACAGTGAGGGCAGATGGAAATGTCACTTGTCTTGATTTAATATGTTGACACCTGATAAGCATGGACAGAGGGGGTATCGAAAAGGTCACCCGATTGCTCTGGGAGGGAATGACTGAATAAGACCCAAGACCCTCCCCATCAAAATCCCAACACAATTCTTCACAGACTTGGAAAGAAAAATACTCAACTTTATATGGAAAAACAAAAGACCCAGGATAGCTAAA